ACTCAGGTTGTCCTTGACTATTGTTTAAATTGGTTTGATGTTCCGAAACACTTAAGTGTGACAAACATGCAAAAAAATCACTTGTATGTTCTCTCCTTTCAGATCCAGAAGAGAAAAGCCTTTGACAGAAGAACCCCATCGTAAGATTTGCAGGTATGACGAGTGTGTGTGTGTGTTTGTGTATGCGTTTTAAAAACCTTTCTCTAGTTCAATTAGAACAATAACAGAGGCTATATAGGAGAATCTTATAGTGGAGATTAAAGCAGCGTAACTGGACATAGAGGCACATGGTCAATATTTTAATCACACTATTGTTTGCAGCATGTACTGACGATGATGGGCTGCTTCTGTGTATCTTACTAAGCCCAATATAATCCATTCTTATCTGTCAGAATGAGGAAATTCATAAGATTATTCACTGCATAAACCCGATATGATGATAACCAGCCGCACTGCACAAAATCACACGGCTGGGTCGCCGTCAACTGTACACAACACTGAAAAGCCTATTATCAGTTGCTAAATAGATCAAGCAACCATCAGAGTGTTCACACACACAGGAAAATACACACATAGTCTAATCAAATGACGCAATAACTGAACCTGGGGTCATGTTGAAGACTGTGAAGGCAACAGGCTACATACATAATGCACACAAGGCTGGAGGTTGGGGGATCAACAGGGATGCATCCAATCACTCAATCACGTGGCAGCAGCTCACTACGTATAATGATACACAATGGGGAAGAAATGTGATCCAAGTGATAGACCATGGCTGGGTTGTTGGTGCCAGATGGGTGGTTGGAGTATCCAACAAACACCTGATCTCCTGGGATTTTGCAAAAACATCCAATCAGCAATTACCCTGTGGATGTTGTTCATGAGCAAAGTCAGAGGACAAAGGGCAAACTGGATTAAATACAGCACCTTGGTCAGTGGCCCTTAAAAGGTCAGTCTGTTTTAGGCACAAAAAATACTTGGTTAGGTTTAGCCATTATGTAACTCAACTAACCACGCATTGCAACAGTGCTGCGCAGAAGAGTTCCTCTATTAGCACTCCGGTCCACTCCTGTCAGCTAAAAACACAAAACTGAGGCTACAGCAGATACAGACTCCAAAACTGAACTGTAGAAGATTAAAGGAAACTTGCCAAACCGCGATCGAGTTTACATGGACCAGCACCTTTAACGAAAGTTCCCAGCACCTCAAATCCCAGAACTAGAAAGGTGCACCTTTCAGAATATTCTTTCAAATGGAAATATGATTCCTGTCACATTTTGCCTCGCCTGGATGTGTCAGTGACAATATTTCCACACGTGCTCATTCCATGAACAAGTTAGCAATAATAGATAAGGAAATCCAGTTACACTTCAAAATAAAGCTTGCTGAGGTTGCCGTTTGGTTAGGCTTAGGCAGCAAAACTACTTGGTTAGGTTTAGGAAAAGAACGTGCCTGACAAGTCAGTGTTGACTTTTGGTTTCCCATGGGACATCCCACATAGGATGGTCTCCTGGGTTAAAGTACTGTGTTTGTTTGAGCCATCCATCCACCCCACCATCCTCATAGCATAATGTTTATATACATTTATTTTGTGAATCACAACCAGTAGGTTACAAGTAGCAAGACAATGTAGAAGACAAAGACAATGTAGACAAGTTGAAATATGCTGATCAGTTAGATCAGAACTTCACAAGCATGCTGCTGTAAGGTGATGGGTGTGGCATGACACCTCAGAAACATGAAGGCCAGTTTGTTTCTCAGCATTTCAGTTGATATGTCTTTAACATCAAAGGGATCTAATTTAGTGCAATTATGTGCAAACCTTTGTAAACACTGGATAAGCTAGAGAGAGACAGCGGAAAAGGTTTCATTCAGTAGTTGCACAGAAGGTCTGATAAACTTGTGGTGCATATTAGTAATGTAGTGTTATGTAAGTACAAAGTGCTAAAAATACAGTTGAGGAATTGTTCATCTTTCTGACCCTGAACTTCATATGTAGAAATAAACTCTTTTCTTTTTCAGCCCCATATTGAAGAGGAGTCCAGATATAACTAAAGCCTGGGGTACAAAGACAGAGCACCTGCTGAGGATAGAAGACCATGACTTTACAATGCGACCAGGATTTGGAGGTAAGAAGGTTCAACCTCTACACTAAATGGAGCGGTGTCAATAAATGCAGGCGGCCAGCAGACTGAGATCTCTATCCAAAGAGTCTTCAGTTTAATCAGTGTCCAGACAAGTCATTAGCCACATCAAAGTGTTCTTTTAGACTTTACACTAAACCCCAACCCACATCTGATCTATACGCTCATCTGAATGTGGGAGGTAGGCATGTCTGGCACTGGTTTGTAGAGATGACATAACAGAGCAGGATTATGTCTGAGCCATGCTGCTGTGGGCCAGTGATTAATTACCAAGCAGCCCCAGTCTGTAGCTTTAGGTTATAATAACTCCCGTCTTAATCTGCCACATTAACAGCGCTCAAAACCCAAATCTGTGTGCATTTTAGATTCTCACACTTGCTTTTCCCCTATAAATACGGAATGTCATATGGAGTTCTTAAAAAGACTAATTACATCAGGAAATCTGATCTGGATTGAGTCTGATTAGTTACTGGAGGCTTCATATGCTAAATGTTGATGTTTTTTAAAGGAAAATGGAGAGTTTGCACTGTAAGTGCAAGGTGTAATGTAAAAAAATACAGTCCTCAAAAATGGAACAAGCGAGGGTGTTTTATGAGATGCACACATGGCTGTCTTCTTTATAATTGGTTGGCTTAACCCATCAGTTTGTTCATCATTTCCAGCACAGCATGCACGGTACCTGCCCAGCATGAAAACAGCAGAGAGTAAAAGTGAGAGGCTTGTGAAGAAACTCAAGCATCTAGCAGTAACAAAAACAAATATTTTTCTCAGGAGTTTGTGGACTGAACTCTTGCTAAAATGTAAATTAATATTTGACTCTGTGTGTATTCAACAGGTGGCCAGAAACACTGCCAAAGTGGCTCTCTATCTGCTGTAAAAATCTGGTGTCTTTTAAAATGTTTACTAATCACTAAGAGACACCAAACCAATACGTCTGTGCCACTTGTATAATTAAGGCTGTCAAACTGCATTTGAAATACCTCCCTACTTCACAACTTTCATGAGGGCTGCATCTGATCAAGTTTTGTAACTTTCTTTTAAGACTCACAATCATGGCCAATTGAGAATAACATGAAACATGAACTTTTAACTCAAGCTCTGTTTCCATTTCTCACTTTTCATGTGTACAAGTGAACCCTGAATGTTGAGAAGAAATTTGTATTTGCCATTTGTACCACTATGTCACAGGGTTTTTGTGCTGCCTTTGAGAGTAGGCCTGGGGAAAGAGCTTAGTCTGGGTTTACTTTGCTAGGATGAGATTATGGTTTGTGTTTAACTACTACTTTGTTAAGGTGAGGAACCATTGTTAAGGTTAACAGTAAAATCCCTTCATTAAAGCAAGGCAAAAACAGTGATGCCCACTGTTTTTGCCAGGTTGTAAGATTTAGTGGCATCTAGAGATGTTGTTGCAGATTGCAACTTCCTCGCTTCACCCTCCCCTTCCAAGTACGAAAGAAAAGCTACGGTGGCAGTAAAACATACAAAAAACGTGAGCCAGTGTTCTGGCCTGCTGTAGAAACAGGCCGGATGCATGCAGCAACCACTAGATGGTAGCACAAGTAGGATTTTAAGCCTGGGTGTGGTTACACTTTCGAAAAAAGTAATGTAATTCCATAAGTCTTAGAGAAAGACAAGGACAGTGTTCACACTAACTATAGCCCTAATTTTATACTAATTCATCAGGAGGACTCAAAGAATCCTATGATTGTTGTCCCTTTTGAAAACATAGAGAATCTGAAGCCCTAAAAAAATAAATAAAAAGACCACTATAATGTCAGTTAGGATTAGAGTACTCACTCCACTGGCTCCTTGCCATTTTCGGGGGAAATCTGCACCAAACTGCTTTTATGGGGATTTGGATGAAAGAGAGCAGAAGCCATTGTTTGAAGCAAAAGGATTGGTATATAAACACAAATAATCCAGGCAGTTCTGAATGAGGTACCTGGGCTACATCTGCACACTGTCACTGTCCACTGTTGTATTTTTAAGTAATACTCATATCAATACAAATTACAGGTTAATGCATTGTTGTGTACTGCTGCATATTCTTCCAGGGCCTGCGGTTCCAGTTGGAGTGGATGTTCAGGTTGAAAGTTTGGATGCAATTTCAGAAGTTGATATGGTATGTATGGACCAAACTGTGTAGGACTATTTGTGTATATTGTTAGTTGAGTAGTAGTGTAACAGGCATGTATTTCCTTGTTTAAGGACTTTACTATGACCCTGTATCTGAGGCACTACTGGAAAGATGAACGTCTGTCCTTCAGAAGCAACACCAACCAGAGCATGACCTTCGATGGTCGCCTGGTCAAGAAAATCTGGGTTCCTGACATGTTTTTCGTCCACTCTAAGAAGTCCTTCACACATGACACCACCACTGACAATGTCATGCTGCGGGTTTACCCAGATGGCAAAGTCCTCTACAGCCTCAGGTAATTCCCCCGGTCAGCAGGGCCCAACTAACCTGACTGCAGCAGAAACCATGGGCAAACTTTAACCAATTAGATCAGTGAAATGAGCCATTGCTCTTCTTTCAATGAAGTAATACTCTCCAGTTCTGATATAACTGATGCTAGCAGCATCTATGCTAACCTCTGTAGCAGCCGCCATGGTTGTTTTTGAACTTCTCACACACATTTCATCACACACACCTAGCATTAAACCATGCCTGTACCTAGTAGTTCCTAATAGGATGCTGATTGGTCCAAACCACTGTGGTTGGACACAGGCACATAGCTTGAAGCCTGACAAGATGGATTCTTGTGTGATTTTGTGATCTCGCGATTCCAGCTAACTCCCAAGGTTGGGGCCTAACACTTAATATGTCAGAACAACTGAAAATGGCGGTTAAGATGGACTATTTCTTGTTAATCAATGGCTGTGAGTCAATGCGTCTCCATCCATCGAAGAGTGGAAATGCTGAAAATGGTAAAAGACCAAATATCGCAAAAAAGCTTGTATGCTTTCCAGATGTGGAAAAGTCGATGAACTGATAAAAATAAAATCCAACACAAAAACCAGACTCCCCTGAAAATGGCAACAGACGAAAAAACATCAGTCAAACAGTGGTGCACTGAACACCCTGTCTTTTTAATACAACAGCGTTTAGACAAACGTCACTGCTGATTAGGTAACATCTCTGACACACCCACCAAATGAGAGTAAATATACCTTATAGCCTGTACCACACCATTTTGAGGAAACTCATCACTTCACCTAAAAACTGTAGGAAAACACAGTTTTCAGACTGAATGTGACCCAGATCTGTGTGGAGCAATGAGACTAACCTTCCCCAAAATAAAACAAAAGACACACATATATTCCATATTTCCATCATATTTTCAACATGATTTACTACCGTTTAAGGTTTGATTGGCCTCCATTTGTGTCCTCTTCTTCTCCAATGGTTTACTGGCACCAGACTGGAGAATTAGTTCTCCCAGCTGTTTATCTTGATACCCACAACTCATAATATCTGCATAACGGTGGTCAGATCTGACAACTGACTGGGGAACAGGAACAGGGTTAGGGTGTATGTGCTGCAGCGTTGTGGGAACAGGTTTGCAGATGGGTGGGGCAGCCAGGACATGGGAAAAGAGGGGAAAGTTCGAGCGCATTTGGTGGATGGATAGAGAATGGAGGTGGTTTGTGGAAGTGGGGCAGGTTATGATGTTAGTGGGTGTTTCAGGGATGTAATTACCACTGGCTGTCCCGCAAAGACAAAGTGGCACCAGCTGCCACAGTACAAGATGTGTATTTAAGGGGATAACGCTCTGCCAATTGTGGCCACTAATGCTGCTGAGCAAGACCTTGTAATTTTGGCGAGCAACTAGAGGCTCCAAGGCAAGATAGTTGATTTTGTAATCCACATTACAGAGCCTGGCAGAGATTAACAGCTGGCCATCTGCCTCCTGTTGTGAGCACTCGAGCATAGTGCTGCCTTCCTGACAGACCGGAACAGAAATCAAAACAGATCTGAATTCACCAACATTCGCTGATGATTGGTGATTGATAGCAGGAGCCTATTAATCAGTAGAAATGGTCGGATAAAGCTCTCATTAGCTTAAGTCGGTGATCTAATTGGGACTCAAATCGACATCCTGATCCTGATCTTGATGTGGACTGTGGTACTTTGCTACCTGGTGGCTGTACTGTGTGTATGAGGGAAGAGTATGTGATGGTTAACAGCAGATATAAGTATATTCATCACATGACCTGGGTTAATCTGTGTGGGGTTGGTATTGGTTGGAGATTTTCCAGACTAAGGCAGATTGGCATGTGAGGATGACAGTTTGTAGACCTGGCCCGTGGACCATGTGGCCTCCTCTCATCCTGTGAGCTGAGATTATGTATTTTCATTTATTCATCTCTGTGCCGGAAACCATATCTCTCCTCAAACCCCTGACTCACACAGTGTTTGCCTGTGAATATTGAGGGGTCAGTCTCTGAAGGTTAGACATGCATATGGGCAAATAAGCAAAAGTCACTGCCTGGTCACTCACCTCCGCAGCCCCCTCCTTTGTTAGCATTTAGCCCAGAAGAACAACCTTGTTAACCCGATTACAGATACAGTGAGATTGTTTTGTGCTATGGAAGAAATGCAACAGCAGTTCTTACCTTTTGTATCTTTAAAAAATATCCCAAGAGTATAACAAATAATTTCTCTGCAGCATTTTGTCATCACATTACTACAGCTAATTGTCATTGCAGGGTGACAGTCACAGCCATGTGCAGCATGGACCTGAGTCGCTTTCCACTCGATACGCAGACGTGCTCTTTGGAGATAGAGAGCTGTAAGTGACTGATGTGATCAAGTTCTCCTCTACAGTTACACAGTTTTTCATTATTGTGTGAATATGCTAGATTATGGAAATGTGGTTAAATTGTCATAAATAATCAGAGATTGTGGATGGTGTTTTTACTGTATTGTACAGAATCTTCTCTCTGGTGTTATAATGTGGGCCGCAGTTACTCAGTTTATGCTCTTTGTCTCTCCAGATGCGTATACAGATGATGACCTGATGCTGTACTGGAAGGAAGGGAACAGGTCATTAAACACAGATGAGAGAATTTCTCTCTCCCAGTTCCTCATCTGGGAGTTCCACACCACCACCAAGCTGGCCTTCTACAGCAGCACAGGTACTGACAGCTGTCTTTTGTTTCAGACCTACAGTATCTCAGGCCTATGCCACTTCTAACTTCCTCCCTGTCTCCAGGCTGGTATAACCGTCTGTACATCAACTTCACTCTGCGGCGGCACATCTTCTTCTTCCTGCTGCAGACCTACTTCCCCGCCACTCTTATGGTCATGCTGTCCTGGGTGTCCTTCTGGATCGACCGCAGGGCCGTACCTGCCAGAGTGCCGCTGGGTGAGAGTGCTTGGCTGTAGTTAGCTATTTGGTGCAGTGGTTGCAGTCTTAGTTCATAGTTTCCTTTTCCTAACTGAGGCTCAAAGAATAGGGTGTCATATGCTGAATAAGCCCCTTGAGGCAAATTTATGATTCATGATACTAGGCTGTATCATACAGTCTATGTGCTGTATAAGTAAAATTGACTTCTAGCTCTTGAGCTGATCTGGACAGTTTTTTACATTATACATTTTCATTTATCGAAGCCCACAACTTTATAAAATGACACAATTTAACAAGTTTTAAATGTTTTTTGTATGCACATCATGTATGGCAAAATGTAATGGCTATATATACGTTAAATAAATAAATAACATACATTTAATTAATCAAAGCAAATAAATCATTAATTCACTTCTACTAGATCACCAATACAGCAGTCATTTACCTAGCAGATAATCATAAAACAGATGTAGGGGAATTCTTCCATAAT